CAAATCATCACAAATTTTTGACATTTAAAACCGTATAAAATAAAATCAATTATTCACAAAACCAAATTTCATTGTAGGGAGAATGATGAAGAAGACTACTGAGAATTCATGAGAAAGAAACAACGAAACACAAATTTCATATATAAAAACAAGTTTACAAAAATAAAAAAAAATAAAAGACACAACTTATCTCACAATTATTCTCAAATAATAGAAATCCCTAGAAGCTCTCTTCAAACAGTTTCCCTCTTTACAAGCACTCTCAACTCTCTTTTAGAAGTGTAATGAAGAAAAAATCTCTCATATTTTTTCTCCTCTTACAATCATTGAAGAAAATCTCCAAGCCCTTGACTTTCTCTCTCTCTTACGCCTCAATTGCCTCTCTTTCGAACCCCTCTTCACGCCTCTTTTTCAAACCCCCCTTCGCGCTTCTACCTTGCCCTAGACTTCTCTCTCTTTTATTAGAGGTTGCATCTCTCCAAAAAGAATTCAAAATTCCATTCAAAATTCTATCCAAAATCCAACCATTTTGAATTTCAAAAGGCATGTCTATTGATCCAAGAGACATATCCATTCATAAAAGAACCTTCCAAAGTATCTAGATGCATTGAATCACTCCATAGGGTGTTTATAACAAGTGTTCCCTTCGAAATTCGCGTAAAATTTGTTCTGAACCTCCTTAATTCATCAAAAACCGTCTCAGGCGCTGGTTTTGGCGCTTTAGGCGCCAAGTTGTTTAAAACCTCGTTGATTTGGATTTTGATGCTTCAGGCGCCAAATCTCTGTAAAATGACGCTTTAGGCACCAATTCTGGGGCTTCGGGATATAGCTCTCTGTAAAGTGGCACTTCAGGCGCCCGAATCACAAAATTCGCTGTTTTGACTTCAAATTTTGTCTTTTTTTTACTTTTGTTCGAAATACCTAAAATTGATATATCTGCAACAAAAATATGAAAATATCCTTCTTTAAAATGCAATATCACAAAAAATAAGCATTAAATATATCCTTAAAATAACACATTATTTTGGTGTATCAGTTGGTTTCATTGCGGGGAATGGCTTGAATCCCCCTGTGCTTTACTTCTTGATTAGTCTTGGTCTCAGTCTTGATATCCTTGATCTGATAATTAGGATTTCAAGTCAGCTGTCAACTCTCCCTTGATATGCCTTGTCGCATCTGTATTGTTTGTTCTCATTGAGATTCATTTTGACTGATGGTCGCAAAAGCATCGTGAAACGAGCTGCCACTCTATGCAAGTATACGCGTCTAAATAATATACAATTTTAAAGAAGTACCGTGTATCGTTCTCATGAGAAAGTGTGTTAAGAAATCGATTTGAAAAAGTCAAACCTATAATTTACTAACTTTTCAAACCTAGTTTGGTAAGATTAATAAACAATTAAAGAAAATTCTAAGTTTAACATATTCTGAAAAAAACAAAACAACAAAATATGGATCAAAGTTCTTTGACATTTTTCCAAGATTGATAAGGATCATGTCTATATAATTTAGGTGTGGCACTTGGCTTGATTTTCGTACAAAATCCTCTCTCGTGATCGTTTTCAACCAAATATGTTAAGTTCTGCTTACACCCATACTTAGGTCCCAAGGAGAAATGGAATTCCACTAAGCTAGCTTCCTCATATCTTTATGACATCCCCACAGTGAATTCAGACCCCCTTTAATTGATTTCAAGATCAATAATAAAATATTCATATTTTATACAATTCTCATAGTTAACATAATCGTTTCACTACGCTTCTATCGGAGTCATTAATCACGATGGATCTTAACATCTTAACTGGCTAGATCAAGAGTAAACAAATGCTGGAAGGTTAACCAACAACTTTCATCAAATAAAGCATGAAAAATGATACGAGAAATCAAGAATAAACATCAATCCAAGAAATTCATCCCAAAAATCATATAGGCACAAAAATTTGTTTTGCTTCTCATAGCTTGAGAGAAAAACAGAGACAATTTCATCAAAATAAAACCTGCAAGAAACATTTTCATTGAGATAAAAATAACTTACAACCCTTTGAGGTCCTCTCTTACAAGAACAACACTCAATTTTTCTCATAAACCTCTCTAAAAAAACATGACAAAAATCTGGAAGAAAAGCTTCTAGTGAAGTAATTATGATTTTGTGCATAAAAAGTCTTTCTTTTTCTTATGACGAATTTCCTAAAGTCTAGTGCAGTAATTATGTTTGGTTTAGAAGTTATTCTATCAAATTGTAATATTTAATTCTTGTTGGTTTCTTTCTTGCAGATTGCTGATTTCTTTCTATCAGATTGCAATATTTAAGTTATCCTCATGAAGATTTCTTTCTTGTTGATTATAATATTTTCCAAGTCCTCTTTCATGCAGATACTTTCACTTCTAATTTTCTTAAACTATTTTTTCTTATTGTCGTGCATTCTACTGCACATCATATTTGGATTGAACAAAATAAAAAATATTTTGTTATACTATTACTCCCATGACTTTGCTCTTACAGAACATTCATTAGACTATTAAATGAAAACATAGATAATGAGAATTAAGCAGGAAATGTCAAATTTATTCAAATGTTTTATAGTCTTTCTAAATTTTGAGATTTTTTAATTGTATTTTTGATGTTCTATTACTCTAGCGTTGGATATTTTTGTTGTTGCTTGGTGCTAGTTTTTTAGTTTAATATCCGGCGCCTTGATATGTTGCTGGATTGTTTTTCTCTCCTATGGATTATTGGCTTTTGGTTTCGGCTCTTGAACTTTCTGGTGCTAATTTTTATGCTAGATTGAGTTTTTTTTTTCATTACTTGAACAAAAGCCAGTAAAATCTACTTAGTGTTGATTTTTTACTTGTGTTATCTGGTACCTTCACATGTTGATTTTTATTTATGTTAATGCTTGACATTTGTTAGCTTTTGAATTTCTTTCTTTAGAGAGGTGGTTGGTTTTGGACATGGCTCTTGAACTATCTGTGTTGTTCTACTGATAAATGTTGTGAAAAACAACGACAATAAAAAGAAAAATAGAATGAGAAAAAATGCACGTAGAAAAAGCACCAGAGCGACAAACAAATTTACGTGGTTCGACAAATTTGCCTACGTCCACGGAGCTGCAGATGCTTTTATTTCTTTGAGGAATTACACCGTCGAGCACATCGACGTTTACAAGAAAATCTATATTTTCTTCTCTGCCTTCCTCTCTCTCTCTTCCTCTCTTTCTCTTAGCTCTCAAGATGACTTGATTTGGTCTTGCTTGGCTTTGTTTGGCTTTACCTTTAAACCAAAATAGACTATTTATATAAACCATGAGAGTGATAGGTGGGAGGTAGGTGAGCGGTAGGTGGGATGTGGTAGGTGAGCGGTAGGTGAGTGTGGGAGGTGAGCGATAGGGGAGATACTTAATTAGGAAACTAATTAAATTCGGTGGACCGGGTCTCCACATTATCCAACAATAAATTGTATGGATTGAGCTTGCTCGTTTTTATTTTTATTTTTATTTTTCTTTCTTTGGCAGAATGCCCAGCTTTTGGATTTAGCCCTCGAGCAACCTCTCTTGTTGGGTTCGGTGTCTAGTGTTGGGTTTATCTTTTTTTCATTATACGGAGTTGTTGCCTACTTTCTCTTTTTCTACTCTAGCAACTTCCTGTTCCTAGAGTTTTAATGATACTTTACAAATGCAACATGCACCTGTTTTTTTTTTTTTTTTTTTGGTTTTGGTGCAATTTTCTTGAACTGATAAAACACATATACAGTTATATCTTAGTCTGAGTTTTGGTTTTGGCGGATTTAGATGCTATGATGAAACCTGTTAGGCTTCTAGAGTTCAACCGATCTCTGGTCTCAATTTTGGCCTCACAATCCTTATTGCTAATTTATATTTTATGTTAATGGAGTTATTTTGCAGTTTCTACAATTTGAGATGTATTTCATTCTCCAAAATTCATTCTGATGGCACTGCACTACATTTTTTTTCGAGATATTATCTCTGTGTTATGCTGATTTCCAGTATCTACTAGCTTTTGCTTGTTATAAGTGTCTCGAGTCAACATTTCTAGTTATAGCTGGTGGTTGTTTTTCTCGATCCAGTCGATGTTGTTTGGATTTGGGAGTTCCTGGTTGAATCGGATTTCCTGGACAACACCTCTATAAGAGATTTTGCTCGGTCTATACATATGATAGCTTTCTATTTCTCTTTTACATATGTTGTTTATTCTTTCGATACATTTATTTTGTTTCTATTTTTTTTTTCTTTTTATGAATTTTGTCGTCATACTATTGATTTTATAATGATATTGACTTGGCATGTGCCCACCTTTCTCTAAAAAAAAACTCTTAGATTATGTAAATAGTGAAATTTAAATATTAAATATATAAATTTTATTATTTTGATGTGCTAAATTATTAGGGGAAATGGAAAAGCAAATTTCTTGAATTTTAAAAGTTTTAAGAAGATTTACATGCATACCACTCAATGCTTATTTATTTTAAGTAACATAGAAATTTTAATTTATCTTAGCTATGCATGAAAAATGAGTATTTTAGTTGTTAAATAATGGTATTTTTTATGTTATATGTAAGATTTAGGTGTTATAAATGTAAAAATTAAAATTGAGATTTATATATGTAAATACATAATAATTTGGTGGTATTTATGTAAATGCTCCAAATTGTTTGTGACACGAGTAAATCCTTGCCCGAATTGAAGTCTTTTGGACAATCCGATGGGCAATCGTCGTGTCCCCATTAATTGGAGCGTAATTATGTCATTTTACGTGCGTATGACCTCCAATAATCTCCCAATAACTAAGTTATTGGAATTATTGAGAGGTTATTGGGGATATTAACCCAAATAACATCTCAATAACTTCTTAATAATCTATCAATACATTTCAGGGTTTGACGTTCAATTTTTTTTTTCTGTGAAGTTATTAGGGATAATAACCTAATAACAGAGATAATACTCCTATATCCCCTAAATATGAATAACGGTCGTACGCACCCACGTAAATAACTGTCCTTTAATTGAGCCCCCGTGAAGTCTGTAATTTACCCATCTAACTAACCTAGATCGCATTCTTCTGTGGCGGAGCTGACCATGGGTGCTTCGCCGGGCACTTCGCCGGAGCAATCCCACCCCTTTCTCTCTTCACCACCGCCGCCTCCGCCTCCACCTCCGCCTCCGCCGTCGCCCCCTCGGGCTACGGTTCCCATTTACGGCTTTCCGACCCACTTCCCCTTCGTAGACAACCCTCCTGCTTATCTTCTGCTACCCGTCTACCCCCTCCAACGTCGCCGCCGACGACGTTGCTGCTGCTGCTTCCTTCAAGTTCTATCCGCCTCTTCTTCTCTTATCGCCGTCATTTTCTCCTTCCTCCTCTTCGCCTGCGCCATCTTCCTTCTCTGGCCCTCCGACCCTGAGCTGAGCTTCACCGGCCTTCGCCTTAATCGGTTTAGCATTGCACCTCCACCCCTCGCTAAGATTGACATTGCAATGGCTCTGGAGATCAAGATCCGTAATCCTTCTTTTTTTGCGGTCAACTATAATTCGACTGTTTCTTCCCTTATCTACCGCGGGGATCTGCTCGGATCCGTGTCAACTGTTGGTGGCCGCATCGCGGCTCGAAAGGTATCTTATGTTGCCGCGGATCTTCATCTTGATGGGATTAGGGTTCTAGAAGATGTGCTTTACTTGATTGAGGATGTGGCTAAGGGGTCTGTGGAATTTGATACTGTCACTGAGGTCCATGGATGGCTTCGACTCTTCTTCTTTGACGTTCCTATTAAGGTAAAGATTTTTCAGTTTTCTTTGATCTTGATCTTTTGTTTTTGATTTTGATTTTTGTTCTAAAAATATTGGATGCCTGGAATCCTGATGTATGAGAAAATAAGAAATTGGAAAATGAAAAAAAAAAAGGAAGAGCATTAGGTCCTTATAATGCGTGGTTTAGGGAGATATTTATGTAAGTAGCCTTCTTCTTATATTCAGGAAAGAACTTTTTGAAAAATTAGACATGATTTTTATTAGTGTGTTGAGCAAGTGTGAGGGTGTAAGAGAATTGTTGATATATGAACATGTCCAACATGCATTTTAAAGTCTTTGGAAATGTTCTTGCCTCATGAGAGATTGCTTGTCAGCTAAAGTTTGATTCAATATACTCATTTAAATCCTTTTTTTTTTGGGTGGAAAAGGAGAGAAGTGTAAATATTGAATTAAAATGATTTGTTAAACAAGTAAAGATTTATCAGATGTAATGTCAGATTCAAACTCATGTTGAGGCCTAGCTTCAAAAGCAGATGTAGGTTTAGGTGTAGATAAGTTGTGCGGCATAATTCCATTCTGTATACTGGACTGCAATTTTCTTGATAGAATTTGGTTTGTTAGCATGTGATATTGGCGATGTTACTTTAATAGGTTGTGGGCAATATAGGCCTAGCATGAGAATATGCATGTGATGTAGTTCAAACTTTATATGCAATAATCCGCGATAATAAATCCTTATTTCTTGCCTATGGTTTCACGTATGACCGTATATGATTTTGGATGCAATGATCAATGGTTCTTGAAATAAACTGCATCTATTCAATAACTTGAAACTTAACAAGTTAATCAATCACACTTAGTTTTTTGCCTTGGCCACTGAAGTTCTGCAATTTCTTTGCTATCGTGTTGTGGTGAAAGATATTTTAGTTGAGTGATTTTCATCTCAACCTATGTGGTGATATTACTTAACCGATATGATCCTAAATTAAAGGGGAAAAAAAAAGGTAAATCCTATGTAGTGATAGCATTAACATACTTGAACCTCATAACAAATTTATTGAGCAAACATTGCTGATTTAATTATAAGCACATGCAATGCACCTTTCATCAAACAGACATTAATTAGCAATGATTTTGTATAAATCATTAAACTGGTATGATAAAAGTTGTAGTTTTTTCATCCATCAAAAAGCAAAAATAAGTCGTATCTATATATACACTATCATAGTCTGAATCACTACAAATTTATGTCTTATTGTTCAAAAAGGGTTGAGTAAGTTCTTGATAGTTTTCAATAATTTTGAATAAATCATTATTAAGAGTACCAATCTTTTATCAGGTGTATTAATAGTATCAGTGATAATATGGCTGTGGCTATTTGCAGTGAAATTCAATTGTATTTGTAACAAATTTAGGGCTATGAAATTGGCTCGAAGATCATAAATCGCTCGAAAATCAGATCAAAATATAGCTTGGATCGAAATCGGATCGAACCATTCAAGCTGAGCTAGAGCCAAATTAAATGATCAAATTTATTTCGATCCGATTTCAATCCGTCCCCGGCTCAGATCAGGATTGAAATAAATTTTTATTTATTTACAAATTTAACATCTAAACTTTTAGTTTTACATGCATAATGCATTGCTGGCTCGGTTGGTGTGGGATTTTTTGGTTGAGTGGAGTGGTAGGGGTTCAAATCCCCTCTTTTTTCACAAAGAAGTTGCATTTTTTTTTGCTGGTGAGCTAGCTAGGCGGGCCAATGCGGGTTCAATATGGCTCACGAGGCAAAAACGACATTCGAGCTGGCTCTAAATCAGATAAATCTAAACCGGATTGGATCGAAATTTAGTAGGATCGATCCACGATCCAATTTCGATCCAATTAAAAAAATTTCGATCTGGTTAAAAAAAAATTTGATCCGATTTCCAACTAGCCGTGGATCGGCTTGAAATTGGATCGTCTACACCCCTAATCATATTAGCTGACCACTAGGATTTATAAACTATGTAAAATATTATGACAAAAGTTATTTTCATGATCAAGGAATACCCTTGCACATGCAATTTAGGTTTTATTAACCATCAATAGGGTTATACAAGGGTTAAGATTATATTGGAGTTGATTAAATTCTTATTGTTTAATGATGTTGACAACACATGTAAATCTTTAAGAAGTATCCTCTATTCAGTAGAAATAAATGCAGAATAAGTCACTCTAGAGCTTAATCTTATACATTCCACAAAATTTATTTATTGACGAAAAGTTTAATCCAAACTTTAGGTAAAGTTCCTGTAACTTGACTCACAGAATTAAACAATGACTTGTTTTTCTTTAGGAAGATAATCTGAATCTCTTGAGCAGTGCATGGCACGATGAATTAAGATTATGTCCCGTGAGAGAACTTTAATTGTTTGTTTGATATTTCTTTTTTCTCCTTATATTTTTCTTTTTAATTAGAACTCTTGGTTCTCTGAAAAATATGACCCTGTTCGTATAATTGGTTTGCGTGTGTTATAGAGCGAGGGGCCAATTGGGTGTAAAAAGGTTGTTTATCACGATCATGGATAAAGGATTGACTTTTGATTTGTTGGATTGCATTTAAAATTGAAATGGAAGTTTTGAAGAAACTTTATGCAATACTGGTTTGGATTTACTGGCAATGGTCGAGAGTTCAAATTTGAATGTTAAGCGGGCTGTTCTGTCCTCAATTAGAAATGGCTGGTTGAAGGATTGTGAAGAGGGATTTGAGATTCTAGTTGTGGAGATTGCCGAGAAAGTTAAATTCAATTTTCAGATTTTAGAAGTTTTTGTTGGATGGAGAGGCAGGCTAGAGTGTACTACTGGCTATTGTTTACATATCCGTACAGGAATTTCTGCAGCAAAAAGGAAACTGGAAGTATGTGTTTTTGTGGAAAAGAAGCAAGGGATAGAATCTTGAAATAGTAATAGATAAGAATAAGGAATTCAACATGCCTTAAAAACTAATTTCAGAGCACTTCACAGTTGACCTCTAAAATATTATAATAAAATAAAATAAAAACTATAGCTGGTGCCCCCGAGAATTGTAAAACTGTTCCCGCTCTTGTTTTCACGTACAACAACTAAAACTAGGCCCCCCCACTCCATTTTGGCAGGGGAGCTTATAGAATACTAAAGAATTCATACTCTCCCGTTTCCCTCGCTTGTCTATCACATCCCACACACAAACGGACAAAACTCTTAGGTCGCGTGAAATCAACATCGCTTCTATATTCACCTGCCTCCCTTCCCCTTCGCGGCTGTCTGCTCGCGATATAGTTGTGATTAGGGCAAGTAGGGAAGTGTACAATGACTTTCAAACTCCTATCTTTCTCTCTTGCGCTACTCTCACCCTCTATGCCCTCTTGTGCTTGTCTCCTTGGATACAATCACAATTAGAGCTAACGAGAAAAGCAACGAAGGGATCACAACTAAAGGCCTTCCAAGCTCACACTTTCCTCCTTGCACCTACCCTCTCAGTTCGAAATCCATGCTCATTCCCTTCACTTCGCTTGCCTTTGCGATATACTTGTGACTAGGGTTGGTTGGGAAACCAACGACGGAATGATGACATACAAAGACTTTTGAAACTCTCATCTTTCTCTCCTATGCCATAAATCTTGCGATGCATTTGCGATCAAAGCCAGAGGGAGGCTGACAACGGGATCATAGCGTATAAAGACCACCGAAACTTCCATTTTTATCTCTTTATATTCCATTGTTGTCTCTAGATCACATCAAATGCAGACACTGCGACAGCCTTCCTCCTTTTCGTCCTAAGCTTATATATATATATATATGTGTTATATATAAAAAGAACCAGAGAGAGAGTTCTAAAAGGGAGAGAGAATGAAAGAATTATGGTAATTTATTGGTTTGCCAACCTCGTTTAACCGTCAATGTTGCCACCTCACAAGTAAATTTATAAATTAAGGGACATTTTGCTTGCATAACTTTTCATGCAAGTTAATTGAAGCCTCACATACGTCTTTTAGACTGGTGGATTAGAAGACCTCTTTATGGCTGCAATGTCTCACGACATTGACCAGCATGTCTTATAGACATTTAAGTAGGTCAGACACTCCCGATGAAGCCCTCTAGCTGGGAAAGATTTCGTAACTGCTAAAGTTTTGGGTGAAATTTGACTTACAAAAATGTTTAAAATTGGATTGACAAGACTTGCAAGTATCTTAAAAATGTGAATTGTTGAACTTGCAAATAGTTTTAATTGTGGATTAATTGGGGTTAATAATGTGACGAATAAAAAATGTGGCATTTCAATAAAATTTTAAATTAATCATTGAACTTAAAAATCTTAAATTTGGTGTAAATGATGATATATATTAAATTTTGATAACTCGTGAGGAATCAAGATTTTATCACAGGAAAATTAAAAAGACAAATGAATAAGACTCTTTGATTAACTCAGGTTTTAAAATGTCTGATTTGTCATCGAATCTGCAACCTGATTAAGCAAGCTAACAGAAGATGTTTAAAGGTTAAAACTGAAAATCTTGCATGCAGTCTCAAGTCATGATATTTATTCGAACAATTAAAATTTTGAAAGATTTTTGGATTTAGAAATACATAAATTCCAATGATATTTTCTAAATCAAATATCGCCACTGAATTCGCGATATATTTGTCAACGAACAAAAGACGATTCTTTAAATTCTAAAATGAAACTTTTTGTGCGATCCATGCATGCATTTCAAATTCTAAATGATTTTTAAAATTCTGCTTTGCGCTTCAATGATTTCTATTTTTAATATTCTACCTCAAAAGACGTGTGAGTATTTTAAAATATGCATTTATATCTTATGAATGCTTCAAATATCATGTTGTGCCTTTCAGGAACATTAAATATTATTTAAATGCTCACAAAATTATAATAACTTGAATGACGTAAAAAAACTATGATCAAATATATTTTTTGATATTCATGGCATAGGTATATTAAAATTTGTGCACAATTTCAAATTTATAAATTCTCACGTGTCATCGTC